AAGTGGAGGAACTTGTGGGAAAGCATTTTGATACAACTTTGATAAACAGCACTTTTTCTGGACCAGTACTGGGGAAGGGAGGGGTGGCTTGAAGGAAAGCAGCAGAGCATGAGTATATTGTGAATTGGTCCCAGGGCTGCTTTTTCTTCAAATGGAAAGGATCCCACCCTTTCTAAACAGTATGCTAATTATAATATCAACTCTGGCTGTAAGTATGCTGCTCCCTATAAGAATAAAATGCCAACCAAGCAACAGCAAAAAAACAATCTCAGGCAGAAAGCCCAGGGTGAGATAATACAGCTGAAGAATGCAGCTGCTTTGGACATTTTCTAACATGCTGCAGGTCTATCCAGAGATGAATGATTTAAAAGGAACAAGGATAGTATTAAACTGGATTTTATTTGCAGGAGGTACAGTACTTAAAAGCACTGGGGACCACTTTGCCTGCTATTTAAAACAGCAGCTCAGAACAGAATGGTGCTGCACGAGCTGTGTGCACATACTCATTGTCAACAGTATGAATTAAGACTCACAGCCTACAGTAAAAAGCACATAGCTCAGTACTAAATGTCCTTAAAGGGGGGGGAGACCGATTCTGTTTTATCCTTGGGAGAGATGCACCTGTGGTTTCTCACACCCTTTTTTCAATATTTTACCCAAGAACATCTACTGAAAAAAGCAAGCTTAAATGGCTCAACAATGGCTTTTTTATTGCAGTGCTAGGATCCCCAATTGTGAAAATACTCATAGTTAAGACTTAATTTTTTGGGGAATCCATTTAAGAATTTTATTGAATGTTTGCAGGGTTAAGGGGTTGTTGAAGAACCATACACAACCTTTCCCACACTATTATTTATTGTTATATCTATATCTTGGCTTTGTTTGAGATTCAAGGAGGCTTACAACAAACTTGATTGCACAAAGTTTGCAAGATTTTTTTTTCCAAGCTGATAAACAAGACAAACATAGAACTTATTGAGGCATAAAATGCATTCTTCGGATTGTCATTTTGACTAGAGTGGACAGTTTTTAAATGTTGACTGCAATTCTTAGTTTTGAAAAACAGAAGAATCTGTTTGATTTAATGGCAAAAATCAAATGGGTCCAAACAAATTTCAGAGTCATAGAAGAAATCCCAAGGGTCACGTAGTCCAATCCCTTACTTACTAGAATTACCTTCTACCAACTCAGTAGCTGGTCATTCACCTTCACTTTATATGCTTCAAAGCAGAAAGCATGTCAACCTACCTATGTTGTCACCCCAACCAATTCCTAGATCCAAGTTACAAAAGCAGTTGAACCACTGAATTCCACAAAGAACATAGTGAGAAAGGTGATAGAAAAGATATCCAAAAGTCCAAACTCTGTCGTTAGAAAAAAATATTAAATAGATGAAGAGCTTAGAGAGAGAGAGAAGTGCTCAGCTATACACGGCCTAATGAGAAAGTTTTTATGGGTTTTTTTTACAAATGGCATTTGCATTATGCCTGGCCTTTTCTAAGATGAAACTCCCCAATTCTTTGCATTGGAAGTTGGGAATTAAAATCTAGTTCAGTTTTAGAGTACAGTAATGATAACAATGGGTAACAATGAACTTCTGACTACGCCCAGTTTTCATGTCTGTCTGCATACAGAGAGAAAGGACAAGGCGCAGGAGGCTTTGCTGTCAATACCAAAGAGATTGGCACAGAGAGGAAAAGATTTCCCTGGAATCTCCTCATCATCCTAGCATAAAGGGTGGGTGGGTGGCTTGAGACTCTTGACTGCTGAAGACTTACCCCCCCCCCCTCGCCCTTGCTTTTGGTTACCACAGCAACACCTGAAATGATGGACAGGGAGGCGGGGAGGGGCAGTGGATGGAAGGAAGACTTTGGGTTTTCAAAGCAGCATGTTCTTTGTGGAATTTAGGGATTTGTTTTATTCAGTCATCACATGGAGGGCTACAATTTAGTTCAGGTTTCAGGGGCAGGAGAAGACATGCAGGCATTCCTGCTCATAGAACTAATAGCATTAACATCAGAAGGAGATTGGATACTTCTAGCATCTATTTACATTTTGATAGGGCAATTTAATTTATATTTTTCACAGTATAATTGATCTAAAATCTCCTTGCTGTTTATAACATATTGAGTGGAGTGTAAATATTTTGTTAATAATCTTACATTAAAATAATTGTATATAAAATAGTAATTAAATTATATAAAATATGATTAATATCAAAGTAATAATTAAAATATTAAAAATAATCTTATTTAAGTTAAATTGGAGAGCAACTGATATAACCGTCTAATCACATAGTATTTCCATGGCTTAGAATATGTTTTCTCTGGGAGAGTGGCAGGATGGGTGAGAGAAAAATAGGAAATCTAATTATACGGAAATGAAAATGAACCCATTGAGGGCTGCTTCTCAGGGACATTTTGTATTTTGAACAGATGCTGCATCACACGTACAAGCAGGTCTGCTGGCCTACAAAGGACACATGTATATACCACCTGCTCCTGCGACGCACATAACCTGATCATTTCTTAACCTTAAGTACAGTATATTCTGGCGTATAAGACTACTTTTTAACCCAAGACAATCTTTTCAAAAGTCAGGGGTCATCTTATACGCAGGTGTAGTCTTATGCATGGGAGTCGTCTTAACTCTATATTTTAACTGGAAAAGTTGGGGGTCGTCTTATACGCCCAGTCGTCTTATATGCCGGAATATATGGTATATTTTTTCAGAACACCTATCTTACATTATGTTTTACACACAAGGTTAATGTCTGGCAATGTGCATGCACTTCATACTAGGAATCTTTTTAAGAATCGCCCAACCACTTGTATCACTCTGATATCACTGGAGTTGTATGATTATAATTGAAATCAGAGTTTAACTCTAGGGGCCCAAGCTGATATGAAGAAAATTATAGAATGAATGCTACTGAGCTTCCAGCAAGCCCATATTTCAACTTTTAAGATATGTGACTTAGATTGTCACCTCAGACTGTAAAATCAGTTGACCCTTTAGTTCTAAATACCAGTATCATGAAAAACACAAAAACCAAGTACTTTTTACAAGCAGGGCTCCAGACGTACATACTGTAACTTATTCATAACTCCCACTGAAGCTTTACGTCTTTTTCCACATAAACACATTTATAACAGAAGCTTATATTAACTCCTTTAAAGGCACAGTACCAATGAAGCAAAGGCCGAAGATTTTAGCCTTACACAGGGCAGTTAATCAGAAAACAGAGAAGTCAAAAGGTATTAAAGTCAAATGTAGTTCATGGACCAGATTCAATTTAGTTATTAGTATGTTGAAATTACTCATAAATGTGCAATACAAACTTTTTTTACACATGTTATCAATCAGTGTCAGACCTTTCTGGGCTCATGGCCAATGGAGAGGGTTGGAAATACTGAGAAACATTTCTAAGCGCTTTAATGTGTAGATACCCTGTCTTAAGAAATGATTATTGAACAATAAAAATCATATGTAATAGCTTTGCCGATTTTTTAGAGCCATAGGATAATGCTGATCCTAATGGTTATATCTTTATTATGAGCATGTGTATAGCTTTAATGTTCATTTGTGATTGGAAATCAACAAATAAAAGATAATCAATGGTGGTAAAGGTTTATAACAAAAACACACTGCAGATTTGAAAGGGGTATTTTCAAATCAAGTTGTATTGCCCATTATTTTTGCATATTGGACCTGTTTACCCACCACGCTGTCTATTTGCAAATTCCGATTAACACGTATTTCTTTTTAGTTAATTTGCAAATGTATTGGGGAACAATGTTATCTGTATGAAATCAGATGCAGATCAATTTAAAAAGGAAATCTACTTTTCATGTTGCATCTTGAATATAAGACAGCATCTTTCCCTCTGTACCTGCAAAAGTATTTTTCCTACAATCTTGTAAATCAAACAGGTTCTGATTTATACAAAGTTACTAACACACATAAAGGCATGATTCATCAGCGGGTTACCTACTACTATGTACTGTTGCCTCACTCAATCTGGTGGTTAAGGCAGAGGAAAGGTTTAATCCTTCCTAAGGGTCAAGACACCCCAAAGGCACCAGATCCCATCTGATCAAAGAGGCTAAGCAAGGTAAGCCCTGGGTAGTACTTGGATGGCAGACTGCAAATGAATACCAGGTTACATTTCAGAGGAAAGAACTGGCAAGACCATTTTGCCTAAGAAAACCCTCTGAAATTTATGAGCTCACCATAAATTGAAATATGTTTTGAAGGCACGTGCACAGATGTCGGATTTAATAGGAAATTATCCCTATAACTATATTCTGAAGCTATACTCTATGCTCTTTACAAATCAAATTCTCTTTTCTATCCACAGTCACAGAAGCACACCCTTTTCTGTCAAAGTGGTCAACAATGTACTCAGCAGCCTATAAATACACTGAAATAGGTGATACCCTTCTCCACACTGGAACATTCAATGCAAAGGCATACCAGCAAAGTCACTGTTCCTTTTACTACAGATTTTGTTATAAGCATGTCAGTGTTAGGGGACAGGGATGCTGCAAAAAATATGGACCATGGATGGCGGGAACTTGTACCTTGAAGCTTCCTGGACCATGTCCTAGAGCTAGACAATGATGTCCAAGAACACAAGCACAGAAACATCTATTACTAAGCTAATTTAAAGTGTGTGACCCAGTTCTCAGAGTTTAAGATCTTTTCTAACTACTCTTGGGACTTTTGCTCACAGGTTTTTGTCAAAATCAGATATACACAAGGAGATCAGAGGGAAGAAAAAAGTTACCATGTGGTGGAGTACTATAACCTGTCAAATAATAAATTCTTTACCAAGATTTAGGCTCCAAAATTAAGTAGAGAAGATCCTAAGTTATATTCTCTTTAATTTGGAAAAGTTTTAAGGAAATGGTTTTCATAGAAGAAACAGCACAACAACTCTGCATTTGCAGCAGCAATAGGAGAAAACTGCAAAACAAATATCTTGTATGACACAGTAAGGGATTTCTCAATGACACATTTAATATTTTAAAGAATTTGGAAAATTCCATGCATTTGCACTTTGAGGCCTCAACTTATAAAAATGCTGTTGCTGTAATTTGATCTAAGTCTTGGTTCTGAATAGGTTTTCATGGTGAAGGACTGTCTACCCTGTTCCATCAGACAGAATTGCAACATTAGAAGGGAAAGGATTTAAACTTCCAGGGTACAATGATATTATCCTAAAGCTCAAACATGATAATCCTCTCAACAGCTTCATGAAGATAGTGAAAGGCCAGGAACTTAAAACTCTGATAACAGAACTCTGTTGCTGTCTGTTTGATTTAACAACATATAGTTCAGTACTTTTCTAACACAAAACATACAGTTCCCTCAATTTGAGGATATATTTTAGTAGTATCACTGACAGAATGCATCATATGAAAATAAAAAGTACGATTTTTTTTCATATTATTGGCCAGAAATCTCAAGTTCACTCATAGCCAACTGAGCAAATCCAAAGCCTATCCTACCATTTGCCCACATTTCCAACCTGCTCTTTTCTGCATGATAATTTTTCTTCAAATCCCACTCTGTTGCAGGAGTGTTGCTTGAAGAATCTAAGACCACCCATGGCATTGTCACTGGCCTTGAGAAGCAGAGATGACATGATATTAATTCTACCTCCAAGGAAGACCGACTGCATTTTTAAAATGGGAAACGAATGCAATCTAGAGTGCCAGAATGGAACAGCTACTCAGCAGACTGACAAGTCAACAATGCGGTTGCCCACATGAAGAAAGGCCTTATAAAGGTTCCTCATCTGATCCCTGCAATTGGCACCTGCTGCTGCTTGCGAATCTTGTTGAAGAGTTCCATGTACTGTACCATCGTGTCACCTGAGCTGTAGATGCTGTCATGTTTATTGCCAAACACAGAAGGAATCCCCGGGGCATGACTTCCCATGAAACTTTGCATGAACTCCATTAGCAGGTTCCAACAGTCATTGGCCACCACACAGGGACAGTATTCCACCTGGCAACAGACACAGAAACTTTAAAACACAGAGCTAACAATAATTCCACAGGAGGTAATTAAGACTTCAATTAACACTGAAGAGCTCGCCCATTTGGAAAGAGATGCTTCTCAGCTAAACAAATTGAAATACCGCTTTTAAAAAATGGAGATGGTGAAACTAAAGACACTAAGGTAGCTGAGAACACTGAAGTAGTTGCTCTTATAGCTATGTTTCAATTTCAGAGTAATTTTAGAATAAAGCTTATCACTAGAATATTAGAGTATTACATATATATACCTATTTATTGACCTACCTCATACGTAAACCACGGACAACTTTTGAGAGACAAAATTATGGATTTTATATGGCTTATGGGTAAGTTAAGGGTCATTCCACAAAGAGGGAAAATCATCATTACTGCCTAGGGCCCAGCTGCCCGTGGCCATTGCTGCCATTTTACTACCCAGACATTCAAAAAAGCTGGACACAATACCATGGTGGCAACAATAATGAGGGCCAAGTGCTTCTTTTAGGCTCTTCAAGAACAGAAAAAACTCTCTTCTGTCACCATTCTGCTCCAAGAATGGGAAAGTTTCCTTTTTTTGGTAAGAATTAAGGTACAGTAGACAGATATTTTTATTACATTTTCTGGATTTATTCTTGAGCATATAGGATATGTTCCAAAAGCAAGATTAAATGGACAACCTTTTTACGGGCCAGTATTAAAAATACTGCAAGTGCAATTATGGTAAAATAGTCCCCCACTTATGACATATAGCAAATATTTCACAATTTCATATATAAGACTAAAATAAACTGCAGGCACAAGATTGTTGATTAAATAAAGACTTTTACTTGTGATTTCTGGATGTTAATCTAGTGCAGGCAAGTGCTGAAGGAGATGGGAAGGGACAGCTCCAAAGTTGATTTGCTAATAAGGATAGCTCTGTTTAAGAGTTCACTGTTCATACTTGGCAGATGGAGGGACAGCTGTCATTTGATTAGCAAGAACACCAGAATATGGGGATGGAAGTAGCACTGACAGAAGTAGGCAACATGTGCCTTTTTATCCCTAGAGAGCATGAAAAAGCCCTCATGTCCTCTAGGGATAATGATTGGGCAATTTTAGTGTCAAAGCTATGGTAGGCCCACTTATGTATTTGACTAGAAACTTCAGCAAAGACCTGGGCTGCCTAATTATGTATTTATTATTATTTATTTATTTCACTGCTTTTCTCACTCCAGAGGGGGACTCAAAGCGGTTTCCAACATATTTATGGCAAAATTTAATGGCTCACATACATATGAAATCTAACATAAACTACAATAACATGTAACGATCAAACAGTTCATAAAAACGTAACAACATTTGGATATTAAAATGTGGAGTTAAAAGCATATTAATATAACCATTAAAATAACATAATCCAAACATCTACAGGTCAATATCAGTACTGTGCCTTAACTCTTGTAAAAAAAAAATCTTCTTCTTCAAATGGAGTAGTGAAAGGTGGGAACTTAGTCCATCCTGGGAGAACTTAAAAGAAGCACTGACCCCTCAGGCCTCTCTGCTGCAGTTCTTATTCTGGCTTTTTTGAATGCAGGGATGATAAAATGGCAACAATGGTCAAGAATGGCTGGCTTCCTGAGGCAGTACTGGTACTTTCTCCTCTGCAGAATTATCCACAGGATTTCAAAATCCATAATTTTTGCCCAAAACCTGCCTTAAACTTATATAATGCCTACAAAATACACCCACGTCATTAATGTGATGGAACTGCTGCTTAGGAAAATATCATTTTTATTTAAGCCTATCTGTCCAACAAACCTATCTACTTGTGTGTTCTCTGGACGTATTAAATCCAAATTATCCACAGAGATAAGGGCATTGAGGGAAAAGCCAGCCTTTGCAATATATATAGGGAGGAAATTATTATGAGATAGCAATTTCCTTTTCAAGATGGCATTTCTTCACCAAGGTAGAAGAGAGATTTAAACAACAATCTCCCAAACCTTTGACCATCCTAGTGCATTTCTTTAAATTAAACAAAATAACTAATTAGTAATCAGCATCACAACAACAAGCAACACTACCAAGTTACTTTTTAAAAGCACAACTTCAAGCTCTTGTCTCAACTTGGACCACAATACATCACTGCACACTTTGCCGGAAACTTCTCTGTCATTTTCATATTTCACAGGCATCCTTACCTCCACAGATATTCCTCGAGCGCTGGGTCCCATGGTAACAGTGCCAACCTTCACCAAGAAATCACAGTACTGGTACCGGGTGCCCCGGCTCTCTATCTTGTTCCCTTTGGCATTTTGAAAGAAGCCTTTCAATTTCACCATAAGGACGTCAAAGTTGGCATCTGCTATGAGGCAGGGGCCATTTTCAAAGAGAGCGAAACAGCTGAGGGGATATTCAGAATTGTGCATCACGTACATCAGCTTGGCAGTCTGCCCTGAAACAAGAGCAGCATTATTATCGCTTCAAGAAGGATATTCCTTCTCTCTTACATGCTTTAAAATGAAACATCTGTTATATCTTTCTTTGTCATTTCTGTTTCAAGCCATTGCTTCCAAGTCAGAATCTCTTATGTTATTCATTAAAGATTGACACTGCACTGATTGCTGAATGCCTTTCTGCGTAAGCAAAACATAAGTAACTTCATGTTATTAAAGGAACCACAGTTCTAAGATAAATGAATATTTGCTCATTCTGGAGTATAGCCTTCAAATAGCAATCCATTAACTTGACTAATACATGGAAATAGGCTGAACAACATAATTGCACAAGATGGAGGGAAGTAGACAAAGAAAGGAATAATTCTTCAACATGTACACAATTCCTAAACCACCCAGATAATCTTTTGGATTTAGAGAAGTAAATTATTTTTGTTGTGCCCATACACATAGCATTCTACATTTCCTCACACTTGCTTTCCCTAAAAAGACAAGCGATTAGGAATTTCTCTGAGATACTATCATTCTCTTAACTGTGGGCAATTACATACCAGTTAAGCAGAGGAACAACAACTGTTGTAATCTTTTTCAAGAAAATATACTTCAAAGTTAACCTATCAGGATACAGTAGGTGTACTCCTTATTTCTTATCTCTAGGGACCTTTGGGGATCTGTGTTTAGAAAGCAAAGGCCAGGAACAGCAGAGACTGAACCCCTCCTTCCACTCTTTTCTGGCTAATTGGATTATAAAATTAGTAAAATTCCCAGAAACTCGGGATGCTATCTTCTTGAGTTTATTCTCATTCTCTTTCACTCTGCCTTTTGAAAACTTTCCTTTCTACAGTTGTTGCCCGACTAGCACCCAATTGCTATCAGCTAGTGTTAAAAGGGAGGAAGACAAGGGCTCTGCAAATCATACTTTTATTATCTTTCCTCACTGGCATTGCAAGTTGAGTATCCCTTATTCAAAATACTTGGAAACAGAAATGTTTTGGATTTTTAAATTTTTTTGTACAAATGTAGATTATATGATATTGTGGTGGGGGGGGGGGGACCCAAGTCTAAAAATGAAATTGATTTATGTTTCATATACAGCTTATACTCATAGGCTAAAGGTAATTTCACACAACAGTGCATCTTTATTTCCACTAGTTTTTTGCAGAAGAGGTGTTAAAATTCCGTGATATGCCCTCAACTTGAGATGTGAAGTCTCCACAATATCAAATTGGGGGGGGGGGGGTTTTACATGTCTATTTTTTTTCAAATCTGTAGTCTAGCTGGGGCAAAATGTTTTTAAAAAAATCTTCAACCGAATTAAAAACTGTGGCTCTAACATGGTGGTTACTTCAGCCTCATTAACCAGCAAGATGACGACCTTTACAGTTTGCATGCTCCCAGAGGTGGCCCTAGGTCATTTTCAACGGTAAGCAAACAGTATTTTGGGCCCCCCCCCCCCCAACCAATCACTGATATATATTTTCTGTTCGTCGTGGGAGTTCTGTGTGCCATATTTGGTTCAATTCCATCATTGGTGGAGTTCAGAATGCTCTTTGATTGTAGGTGAACTATACATCCCAGTAACTACAACTCGCATATATCAAGATCTATTTTCCCCCAAGAGTGCCCCTGGGCAAAATAAACTATACTGCAAATGCTTACTTTGCGTAATGGGTTGAGCCGCACCAGCATGTTCCCATTCCTAGACTACTTTCAATCTTATTTTGCCTGAGAAGTGAACTCCTTTCACCTCAGACTCTTGGCCATAAAACAATCTGCTATATTTCACTAATCTTGACTTCTGCATCCTTCTATTTTGAGATCAGCTCCCCCTCTGCCTCTTCATCTGTTCTCCATCTCACATCTGCCAGAGAAGGCCCATAGGCCATCAGTCCACTGGCTACATCCATATTTTAATTTTCCCCTTGGCTGTAACTACTGAGAGTCTCTTCTCTTGCTAGCCAATTGTGCCCTTCCTGCGTTGGCACACTTCTCCTGTGCTCTCATCCTCTATTCATAGTTTTCCCTAATTTCTCACTCTGTAGCTTACATATTCCCAGGAAAAAAAATTGGTAAACATTATACATTAATTGAATAGCCTCACCTAGGAAAATGTTCCACTTTTGGAGATAAAGGGCACCGTTTTTGGGGACATCACACGGCTATAATTATGCTAGGGTGGTGATAGGAGGGAAAGGTGGTGACTGTAATGACTGTCAAGTAGGAAATATGTTGTAAAAATCAGGCTGCTTTTAATCACCAGACCTGTCTACATCTCCTTGTCACTGCTGCACAATTTAGGAAAAAAGTGTAACCACTTAGAAAAGTGCTGACAAGATTCTGGCCAAAGATAGACGAGGAGAAAACCCAGACAGAAAGACAGCATTATATACTGCTGAAGAAAAAAATCCTATCTTGTGTAACCTTTGGCTTACATCCTAAAAAATACTTGATAAGGCTTTCAGTAGAATGAAACCTGCATTTTAGATATGATTCTGATAATATGTTTGTTCAAAAAGTTGCAACTTTATTTAATTCAGCACAGGGCAGAAGCTGTAAAGTCATGCTCATAATCCTAACCAAACACAGATCTCTACAATTCTTGTATTCACACTGATTACCTCCCCCTTTTCAAGCTGCATCTCCCTCATGAATTAAATTAGATGACAATGGGTCCTTTGTCTCACTCAGTAATAGAGACCCATAATTTCATCATGCAGCAATATTCCTCTTATCCTAATTCATCTTGGCCAGGAAACAGGCATTTGGAAAATCCACATCTATCAGGAACTAATTTTTAAAGAAGGACTTAATTTTATAATGGGCTGTAAACTAACTCAGTTCCATGCAAGCTAAAACAGGCAGACTCTTGAAAATTCTGATCATCCAATGAAAAATAAGAGCAATTGAATATTTGTCAGAATTCTGTTTTTATATAAAGCAGTGACTTTCATCTCTTTGCCCTCTTGATATTTTTGATTTTCAGTCTCCAGAATACTGAATATTAGCTATCCTGGCTGAGGCTTCTAGGAGCCGAAGTCCAAAACATCTGGAGAACCAGAAGTAAGAACTACTGACATACATATTCCCAGCCGTTGGGCATGCAACCCAAAGTGGAGTGTAAACAAGTGAGAAACAAAATAGGAGAACTCTGATAAAAAGCCTCTGGAATAGGATTACAGAGGTATTTCCCTATGTTCTGTTTCAGCCCATTTATTGGAGATTTGAACTTAGCCTGGATCATTCTGTATGCATGATCTGTACATGCTACGTATATGTTCTGTCACTGAATGTCCCTTGCCACCTCCAGCAGCCTTGTTTCTCTGGAGAAGAGGGGGGAACTGCTAAGCACTGCATATGATGCTCAGGGTTGTTGAGGAGGAAAGCCATGTGAGGGGAAGTCACAGGGAGCAAGCTTGTTTTCTGCTGCCCCCCCCCCCCCAAACTAGGATGCGGAACAATGGCTTCAAACTACAGGAAAGGAGGTTCCACCTGAACATTAGGAAGAACTTCCTAACTGTGAGAGCTGTTCAGCAGTGGAACTCCCTACCCCAGAGTGTGGTGGAGGCTCCTTCTTTGGAGGATTTAAAGCAGAGGCTGGATGGCCATCTGTCAGGGGTGCTTTGAATGCAATTTTCCTGCTTCTTGGCTGGAGGTTGGACTGGATGGCCCACAAGCTCTCTTCCAACTCTATAATTCTATGAAGCAAATTGCTATTTAGAGTTTCTCAAATTGTATTCCAGAGAACCCTAGTAGTCTTAAAACATTTAATGGGAAGATCTTTAACAGTAACAAGCTTTCCTGGAGAAAAACTGATTTTGCCCCCAACATTGTATACCTTGGTGAGCACTGTTGTATATATATCCCTTAAGAGGCATTTCAGACTACTTTGTGCATCAGTTCCAATCAGTGATGGTGGCAGCCATAGTCCAAAAAAAAATCCGAGGTGCATGACTTTGGACAAAACTTCCTCAGAAGGCTACTTGAAGTCAGAAAGGTCCTTCAAAGTAGCAACCTGAAAAATACTGATACAAATGATCCATAAAGTTGAACTCCCTTCAGTATTTAAACAGGTAGATATCATCCCAGTAGTCATTTGTAAGGATGACAAAAAGCTCCCTAAATCTGGGCATAACCTTGAAGAGCATGACTTGCTTTGTCCATATAACAGACTGATGTTTCTCTTTCTGTCCAGCACTAGCAATGTACACAATACCGTGTGTTTACTAAAAGGGAAACTCCAGAACTTTGAAAAGTTATCTTTGGATTGCGATTCCCACACTCCCTCATTAGTATGACCATGCTGTTTGGTGAATTCTGGAAGTGTCTCTTTAAAGATTTAATTTTCCAACTTCTAGTGAACTCACTGGGTTTACTTCAGCTTATTCACATCCGTCTAATAACGTTTTGCTGCTTTTCTACACATTTTTAACTTGCTTTGAAAAATTCAGGGGCAGGAAAATTATTTGGTAAGTATTTTGGAAATGCAGAAATAGTTATGAGATATATTAACACATCCCCAGGATTTCGTTTTTGGGGGGGGGGGTAAAAAATTTTCAGGGGGGGTTTCGGGGGTGGGGGGGCGGCTGAGTCTGAGTGAAAGAGGGTCAGCCCTAGCAAACCTTTTGTATCATTACCCCAATACCCCCATGCATATGGGATATATTGAGTATGGTGATCAGATCATAATATGAATAAAGATAACAGTTTAAATAATGCACCAGTAAGGCCTTTTCACAAACCACCATGAGAATTTGGGGGGGGGGGGCTGAAGCCCCTCGCCCCCCCCCCCCCCCCCCCCGCTACATGCCTGCCCCCTTGCAAATAAAAGATTCAGAGAAAATGAGGTTTAGAAAAGTGCAAAGATCCATTACTGACCTCTAGAGGTTAGAATAATTCACTCATGACAAAGTTGCAAATAACATATACAGTACAAGTTGAGTGTCCCTTATTCAAAATGCCAGCCAATTTTAAGTATGAATATTAAACTCATATCTTGTGTTTAATCTCCGTTCTGTTTATTTTAATGTGTATTTTATAGAAATACATTTTAATATGTGTATTTATAGCATTATTACAATGTTTATGTGTTTTAATTATGCTTTAACCTGCCTCAAGCCACGAGGAGAGGCAGGTAAGAAATAAAATAATAATACCAGAAATGTTTGGGATTTGTGAATATTTGCATATATATATAATGTGATATCTTGGAGGAGGGATCCAAGTCTAAACACAACATTTATTTGTTTTATATACATCTTATATATGTAGCTTGAAGGTTATTCTATCCACAATAGTTTTAATAATTTTATGCACAAAACGAAGTACACTGAACTATCAGAAAGCAAAGGTGTCACTATCTCAAAAACTCTTCCAGACAATATTGGAATTTAGAGCCTTTGAAATTTACAGATAAGGGATATTCAACCTATACTGACAAGCCAGAATGGCAAACTTCATGAGCTATTTATAAAGATGTGAATCCACTTTAGAACAATAAATAATTATCTAACGTAATGTCACTGTGATTTCAAGTATCTCTGCAAAACTTCAGTTAATAGCCTACAATCATACTGGTAGAACATAGCAAAGACATGGAACAACGACTGAGAAAAGGAGGAAAGTGCAACATCAACTTATCGATTCCTGTCCTCTTGATAAATGCTTCACTTTCTAAGGATTTATAGAATCATAGAGTTGGAAGAGACCTATCCAGCCCAACCCCTTGCCAAGAAACATCCAGTCCAACCCCCTGCCAAGAGGCATAAAACCACATTCATTATATCTTATTAACAAGGCATATGAATGTAAAAAAGAGGCTCTCACTAGCAAGACTATAGCCTTATTGACATTTATCTGGGAATAAATATTATTAAACTCATTAGGTCTTACCTTTAAGCAAATGGGCATAAGATCAAAGGTCTAAATAGATCCCCTATGGAAAGGAATAATCACTTCCAGGTAATCAACCAAATAAGCTTTACAGAAGCTAGTTCATTTTTATCCACTGTATATTACATATAAATGATGATTAGAGAATGTGCTTTTATGGGCTAGTACCTTATGTACTATTACAGAACTATGTTGTATTACATCAAAAGTACATTGCAACCATGGTATAATTTAATATGTATATTAAACAGTTTAACCTATTTTTAATCTCACTTTTTCTTCATTTTATTATTTCACATTCAGTAGATGAAAAGCAAATGAATCCAATGTCATACATCAGATGATATATCTTTCTGCAAATGTTTAAATCTGAAGGAGCTGCAGAAAAATATAGACACCATTCTGTTTGCAGATGTTTGTCCTGACATTCCTCCACACTAACCCTTATCCAAAACAGCAAATTCTAATTGCATACTAGACACAGTGACAGCATCTCTTATAATGGATTTGATGAAAATCCAATTTCCAGAAAACATATAAACAAAGCTGTTTCTGTGAGGCCCTTAAATTTCTCTTTACAAATTGAATGCCATTACATTTGCTTGAAGGAAGTGAATGCACCAATTATGGTAGAAAAATTAATTTTTACCTTGATTGCCCATTGTGGAAGCTGCAGTGTGGTATGTTTCACAGTCTACACAGAATGTTCCTTGTTTTTCTGCTCCAAGTAGTTCTAGTTTTCGTGTTAAGATTTCAACTGTTTGCTGGACACTTTTCCCTTCTGCTATGGGCATCTGAGATACACTAACAAGGGAGAAAAGCCACTGATGAAAATAAGTTTCAAAACACGGTAAGAATCACTGCTACTTTCCACTTCATGTGCTACCAAATAAAATAGTTTATCTTATATAGTAACATACTACTACATGTTACCTACTAACATACTCAATGCCTTATAAAAAGAGAAAGAGGAGGAAATGGAACAAAAAGTCAGGTTCCTGCCATAAGAACCTTACAAAGTCTTCAATGAGGTGGAAGATAACAAAGTGAGGAGAACAGAGAAAGACAAGTAATCAGATGTTTAGACCCATATCCAGATTTCTATATTATGCTGCATTGTGTATGTCTGATACAAAACAGAGAGAAAATGCCTTTTTAAACATTCCATCTCCTCCAAGCCTCTTTGCCCTTTCACTTCACATTGGTGAATAAAGAAAAATGAAAGCCAAAGCTAATTTATCTATCTCTTACATTTATTTCCTAGCTTTCCAACAAATTGTGCTCTAGATCAGGGTTTAACTTTTTCCACTCATGATCCCTTTCCACCCAAGGGAGTATTAAAACTGCATTATCGGCAATCTAATGCTACAGGTTGAGTATCTCTTATCCAGAAATCCCAAATTTCCCACATGTGTCTGAGATATTGACACCTTTGCTTTCTGATGGTTCAATGTACCAAATTATTTAAAATACTGTGCATAAAGGTGCCTTCAGGCTATGTGTATAATGTGTAAATGAAACATATATGCTGTGTTTAGGCTTGGCTCCCATCTTCAATATGTTACATCAGGGATGGGCAAACTTTCTAACTTGGGGGCCTCATGGCAGGCTGGAGCAGGGTGGGCAGGCCAGGAGCAGGGGGATTCTCTCCAAGTCCCCTCCCTGCCCTTTCTTCCCCTTCCTCTTCTCTTTCGGAGGCAGAAAGCAAAGGAAAGATGGGAAACATTTGGATCCCAAAAGGTTAGCCTTGGTCAGGATGAGGTGGATACGAGAGGAAAAAAGTGTATCTATTAGACCCCATACTGCATACTCCTGATATAGAATCCTAGAGCTGGAAAGGACCCTAAAGGGCCATCCAGTCCAACCCCCTGCCATGCAAGAAGGCACAATTAAAGCATTCCCGACAGACAGCCTCTGCGAAAAGCCTCCAGAGAAGGAGACTCTACCACACTCCCAGGCAGCCTAGGCCACTCTCCAACAGCTCTTACTTTCAGGAATTCTTCCTAATCTTTTCCCCTGCCATTTGAACCCATTGCTTCCTTGTGTTCTGGTCTCTAGAGCAGCAGAAAGTTGGTTTTCCCCCTCCTCTTCAATGGGACACCCTTTTAGATCTTGAAAATTGGTTCTCATGTTCCTTCTCTACCTTCTCTTCCCCCAGGTAAACATGCCCCAGGAGGAAAGAAGGAAGGAAAAAGAAAAGGAAGGAAGGTAAAAAGGAAAGAAGAGAAGGATGGATTGAAGGAAGGGTGGAGGGAATGCGGGGAGGGAGGAAAGAGGGAAGGAATCATAGAATCATAGAGTTGGAAGAGACCTCATGGGCCATCCAGTCCAACCCCCTGCCAAGAAGCAGGAATATTGCATTCAAATCACCCCTGACAGATGGCCATCCAGCCTCTGTTTAAAAGCTTCCAAAGAAGGAGCCTCCACCACACTCCGGAGCAGAGAGTTCCACTGCTGAACGGCTCTCACAGTCAGGAAGTTCTTCCTCATGTTCAGATGGAATCTCCTTTCTTGTAGTTTGAAGCCACTGTTCTGCGTCCTAGTCTCCAGGGAAGCAGAAAACAAGCTTGCTGCCTCCTCCCTGTGACAAAAGGGAAGGAAGGAAGGAGAAAGAGGGAAGACTGGAAGGGTAGGAGGGAAGGGGGAAAGGCAGAAGGAAAGAGGGAAGGAAGGAAGGATAGGATGGTGAGCGAGAGGAGGGCCTGCAAAGAGTCCAAGAGGCCGCATTTGGCTCCCGGGCGTGGGTTTCTCCATACCTGTGTTACATGCAGGTGGTGTCAATATCTTATTTACTAACACCTTGAAGATGGGAGCCAAGCCTAAACACAACATTTTTGTTTCATATACATGTTATGTGTACGTGAAACATAAATGACTGGTTTGATTAGGCTTAGCAATTAGGCGATGCAAAAAAAAAAATCCCACACACAAAAATACCTGAAATCGCAAACTTGTCTGGCGCCAAGCAATTCGGATGAGGGGCAGATACTCCCCTGGCATTACATTGAGGAGATTTAGTAACTCACGCATGGGCAAACTTCGGCCCTCCAGGTGTTTTGGACTACAACGCCCACAATTCCTAACAGCCTACCGGCTGTTAGGAATTGTGAGCGTTGTAGTCCAAAACACCTGGAGGGCCGAAGTTTGCCCATGCCTGTAGTAACCCCACCTGTCACCAGGTCCCTCTCCTGCCCCTGACACGCGTCATTCGCTCGTTCACACGTTACACTCCACACCCGACCCCTCATTCTTGAAACGAATGTACATCCAAGCACAATCGCAGCAGGCCTCCATCTTGGCCGACACTGAGAAGCAAAAACATTCAACGGTCTCAAGGTAAAATGTTTGGCTAAGGCTACAGCAGCCTTGGGAAGCCGTACCAGGTAACACCCATGTTTCCTCGGCTGTCTCCTCCGCGGGGTAGGCGTGAACCCGGGCGGAAAGGTCGCCCAAGACTTCTCTGCCTCACTCAGCGCCCTCTCCCCGGCGGTCTCCGCGGAGCCTCACACAGCCTCGCCTCCTCGGAGGGAAGAACGCCGAAAGGAAGTGACGTCATCGCGGGGAATGCGGGCGAGTGTCGTCCTCGCCGCCTCCTCTCGGAAGCGGCCCCCTGGCGGCCGGAGCAGGCAATGCAGGCCCACCTCCAACTCAGGTGGTCCTGAATTGCCCATCCAGCGCAAGAAAGTGGAGCCAGGCTTTCCTGTAGGGAGGAAAGTATTGACACTTCCGGCCCATCCTCTGTTCGGATATCAGCCAGCATATTGACGTTTTAAATCAAGAAACAACTTCCTAAGATCCACTTTATATATACGTATATTTAAAATTGTATTTCATCTATATAAATAAAAATGTAATGTTCCTTTGTGGGATTAACATAATTCAAAAACCACTGGACGAATTGACACCAAATTTAGACACAATACACCAACGAGGGTCCATCACCTGTAAACACACACACAAACACACACAAAACCCCAGCCAAACAGACTTAAAAACCTAAAAAATATACCATATATACATATACACATAGAATCATAAAATCAAAGAGTTGGAAGAGACCTCATGGGCCATCCAGTCCAACCCCCTGCCAAGAAGCAGGAATATTGCATTCAAATCACCCCTGACAGATGGCCATCCAACCTCTGTTTAAAAGCTTCCAAAGAAAGAGCTTCCACCACACTCCGGGGCAGAGAGTTCCACTGCTGAACAGCTCTCACAGTCAGGAAGTTTGAAGCCATTGTTTCGCGTCTTAGTCTCCAGGGAAGCAGAAAACAAGCTTGCTGCCTCCTCCCTGTGGCTTCCTCTCACATATTTATACAATGCTATCATGTCTCCTCTCAGCCTTCTCTTCTTCAGGCTAAACATGCCCAGCTCCTTAAGCCGCTCCTCATAGGGCTTGTTCTCCAGACCCTTGATCATTTTAGTCGCCCTCCTCTGGACACATTCCAGCTTGTCAATGTGTCCAGATACACATACACTCATATACATATACACATGCACACATTCATACACACACACGTATATATATGCACAAACACACACACATATACACAAACATACATACACATACACACAGATACACACAGATATACATATACACATGCACACACATATACATATCCACATAATATTTCGTTCAGACGATCAGAATCTCCTTGAAGTTCCCAATTTTAGGACCATTCACCTGATGTCTACTAGGCGTAGAACTTTCACGGTGGTGGCTCCTTATCTATGGAATGCTTTGCCAGCAGGAACAGGAGCTCTCCGAGATTTACTTGCTTTTCGTAGAGCTTGTAAAACTTATTTATTTAGGGTGGCATTTGAATTTTGTTGATCAAAGTTTTTCTTGTGTATATTGTAAACCGCTCCGAGACTTCGGCGAGTGGAAGTATATAAAATTGATTAATAAAATAAATTATATATATATATATATATATATACACACACACACACACAAATATGCATATAGACAAGCACACACCTATACACAATATGCATGCACACATATAAACACACATATATACACACACTTATATACACAAATATATACACATACATAAACACATATATATACACACAAAAAACACATATGCACAGACTTGGCTACAGCAACATGTGGCAGGGAACAGCTAGTTTATAATAATAATAATCATAATAATAATAATAACTTTATTTATACCCCGCCACCATCTCCCCAAGGTGACTCGGGCGGCTTACATGAGGCCAAGCCCAACAAAATACATCAGTAGAAAACAAGGCAAGCAAGCAAATAAAACACAGTACAATATCATAAATAACATATAAGCAGTAACACACAAGAGATTTAAAACACTGTGGGAAAGGCCGGATGTAGTAGATTAAATTTTTAAAATACTGGGTGTGAACAGAAGTAGGGTATCTAAACGGGGGGTGGGGGGGTTAGAGAGTAATGTAGGGAAATCAATCCAACGGGTAGTGCTTCAGAGGACATATTGCAGAAAATTGATCAAATTAGGGCATTGTTTCCTTTATTCAGGGAAGGCACACTGAAATAGCCATGCTTTCAAGATGTCCCGGTCCTCAAACACTCTGTGCTTCATTCGTAAAAATGCACTCACAGAGCTCAGGTGGTGTTGTATTTAAGTGTCAATGTGGACTTTTGTGGGGAGGTGGCTGCCAAGGTAGTGGAAATGATCAACATTTTCTAATGTTAAACCATTAAGCTATATTTCTGGCATTGGAGAGGGATTGGCTGGTGACTGCTGGAAGAGCACTTTGGTTTTCTCAATGTTCCATGACAGACCGAGCTTCTCAATGCTTCTGCGAAGGTGTTTAGAGTGGCATATACGTTTTCTTCTGAATGCGCACAGATTATGTTATCATCAGCATATTGGACTTCTATAATAGATGTTGTTGTCACCTTGGTTTTGGCTTTCAGTCTGCTGAGGTTAAATAGCCTGCCATCTGTCTGATATTTTGCATATACAATTTTCCAAATGTATACGCAAAATATTACAGATGTGGGCAAACTGGAGCCCTACCGGCTGCTAGGAATTGTGTGAGTTGAAGTCCAAAACACCTGGAAGGTCCAAGTTTGCTCACGCCTGATTGGTCTCAAAAGCGTGAAAAGTTGGGAAAGCTGTGCTCTATCCCTATTCTGTCTCTGCGGTCACAAGCCCCGCCCCTTTTCTGCTCTTCCCTTTCGGGCGCATGCGTCTTAGCCTTGCCTCTCCCCCACGTGTCTGGGCGATCATGCCGAAAGAGAAGCGGGTGCGAGGGGCCTCCTCGGCGGCGGGGGTGAGCGTGCCTCTGGCCGAGCAGATCCTGCAGGGCGAGGCGGTGAAGCCCAGTCGGCGAGTGAAGCGGAGGGGCAAAGCCGGGCTGCATGGCGGGGGAGCGGGAGGAGAGGAGGAGGAGGAGGAGAAGTACGTGGACGAGCGGCTCTCCCGGAAGATCCTGGAGCAGGCGCGGATCCAGCAGGAGGAGCTGCAGGCCGAGCATGGCTTTTCCGGCAGAGAGGAACCCAAGAGGAAGACCACCGTCCTGGGTGAGTGGGCAAAAAGCACCTGACATCACATTATTAAACCCACCCTGGAATTAAACAAACCAAACACCCCGCCATCCTCCAGATGCGATGGACTACGACTGCCATCATCCCCAACTCCTTCAGTACAGCCAAGTAATAAAAATAGGCCTAACTCTGCCTTTCTATCACACTATGTAACACAGTGTTTGTTTCTGGGTTGTAAATGTCATTTCTCAATTGGTTATGTTACAAAACATGACAAAAGTTTTATTTAACTGAATTGTGAGTTTTCCGGGCTGTCTGGCCATGTTCCAGAAGCTAGACAAGTGAGGTTTATATATCTATGGAATGTCCGGAGTGGGAGAAAGAACTGTTGTCTAGTCTAATGGAGGCAAGTGTGAATGTTGCAATTGGTCACCTTGATTAGCATTGAATGGCCTTATTTTTTTATTTATTTTGGGTACTTCTACCCTGCCCTTCTCAACCCCCGGGGGGGGGGGGGGGGACTCAGGGCGGCATACAAAAAGGCACAATTCGATGCCTACACAAGATACACATACATACAAAACAGCAGTTAAAACAATTATCATGTTAAAAACAGTCGGTACATAACACAATCAATAAAACTAATCTTATGCTCAGCGTTCATCTTTCAGAGTTCCATAATTCCATTCCACTTAGTCAATTCCTGTCCATCGTCAAAGTCCTTTCTTTAGCTGCCAGAATGTCCAAATGCCTGGTCCCAAATCCAAGTTTTCAATTTTTTCCTAAAGGAAAGAAGGGATGTCGCTGATCTAATTTCCCCGGGAAGTGAATTCCATGGGTGAGGGGCCACCACCGAGAAGGCCCTGCTCCTTGTTCCCGCCAATCTCACTTGTGATAGAGGCGGGGTCTAGAGCATGGCCTCCCCAGAAGATCTTAGAGCTTTGCACTAGATCCACTTGCCTAGTTCCCAACAAATGTCGCAACCTCTGAGGATGCCTGCCATAGATGTGGGCGAAATGTCAGGACAGAATGCTTCTGGAACACGGCCATACAGCCCAAAATTCACAGCAACCCAGGGCCCTTCCACACAGCCATGGAGGGAGCAAGCTTGTTTTCTGCTTCCTTGGAGACTAGGACGCGGAACAATGGCTTCAAACTACAAGAGAGGAGATTCCATCTGAACATTAGGAAGAACTTCCTGACTGTGAGAGCCATTCAGCAGTGGAACTCTCTGCCCCGGAGTGTGGTGGAGGCTCCTTCTTTGGAAGCTTTTAAGCAGAGGCTGGATGGCCATCTGTCAGGGGTGATTTGAATGCAATATTCCTGCTTCTTGGCAGGGGGTTGGACTGGATGGCCCATGAGGTCTCTTCCAACTCTTTGATTCTATGATTCTATGTAACCCAGAATATCAAGGAGAAAATCCCACAATATTTGCTTTGAACTGGTTTATCTGAGTTCACACTGCCATATATCCCAGATAATGTGGGATTTTATTCGGCTGTGTGGAAGGGGCCCCAGTGATTTTGGCCATGAAAGCCTTTGACAACATTATTTCTTTGATTCCCCCCCCCCCCCCCGGTTACCCGAGAGTTCTGGCTGCTTGAGTTGTGGTTAACTCGAGTCTACTATATTTTGTCCAAGTAAATGAACTAAGGGTGATATTAACTGTATTTTCATAGCATTGCCATAAGATGTTTCAACCATATACAGTAGACCAGGGATCCTCAAACTAAGGCCCGGGGGCCGGATGCGGCCCTCCAAGGTAATTTACCCAGCCCTCGTTCAGGGTCTACCTAAGTCTGAAATTACTTGAAAGCACACAACAACAACAACAATCCTATCTCATCAGCTAAAAGCAGGCACACACTTACCATTGAAATACTAATAAGTTTATATTTGCTAAAATTGTTCTTCATTATAATTATTGTATTGTTTTTAAGTATATAGGAATTCATTCGTGTGTTTTTTTTCTTCAAATTATAATCCGGCCCTCCAATAGTTTGAGGGACTCTGACCTGGCCCTCTGTTTAAAAAGTTTGAGGACCCCTGCAGTAGACTCTCAGTTAAGTCACGGGATAGATAAATGGCAAATCAATGCAGTTTCTGGTAGCATGGGAGTTGCTATTAAAAATAGATCTAATACTATACAGGTAAGGTTTCCCCTGACATTAAGTCTAGTTGTATCCAACTCTGGGAGGTGGTGCTCATCTCAATGTCTAAGCCGAAGAGCCGGCGTTGTCTGTACACCTCCAAGGTCATGTATCTTAAGCGGCCGAGGGGGAGAAGGAAGGGGCCTGAGACTGTTACGAATTGTGAGAGTTGAAGTCCAAAACACCTGAAGGGCCCAAGTTTGCCCATGCCTGATCTAATGTAACCTGTCAAAGTAAGTGAAACTAAGGATAACAATGCATTTTCAAAGCATGGCCAATTAGCATGTAGTTCTTCTTTGCAGCTGGAAAAAAGCACTCTTGACTGCTATCCCATTGATTAAAATAAGAAACTATTCTATACTTTAGGGTATCCTCCAGATGGGTACAGTTGCCATCGCCCCCCAGCCATTCTTCAAATCAGGGGCAATCAGGCAATTGCTTATTTTGCTAAATATGTAGAGCTAATTTTCACCTGCCTCTTCTAGGATCCAACTCAAAGGATGGAAATTCAGATACAGATGAAGAGGAATGGCCATCGCTGGAGAAAGCTGCAGCCATGGAGAAGGGAGAGTATTGTGAAGAGATGACTGTGAATCCCGAGGATGAAAAAGCCATTGAAATGTTCATGAATAAGAACCCACCACTGAGGTGAGCCCAAGAGGACCAAATCTTGGTTTATGGTTGAAAAATTAGTGGTAGAGGAGCCCTTTTAGGGTTTTTGTTTTGTTTGATTTTGTTACTGTTCCGGGGATTAAGCGATATGTAGAAAGTTGGTACAAAAGTTGATAAATTTCCCCTAGTTCCCTCTTGTGTAGTGGTTCTCAACCTGTGAGTCCCCAGATGTTTTGACCTTCAACTCCCAGAAATCCCAACAGCCGGTAAATTGGCTGAGGTTTCTGAGAGTTGTAGGCCAAAACACTTGGGGACCCACAGGTTGAGAACTACTGCCCTAAACGGTTTGGGTCCAGCTTACCTGTTACTTCTTTTGTTATTTTGCCTCACTCCCACTGTTTGTATTATATGCAATTATGAAACAGAATTCCACTGAAGGAATGGGATTACGTTGGTTTTTAATGGACTAATGATGTCAAATTATAAATTGACAGAAAAAAGCATCCTCTACAGCTAATTGACTAATATTGATTGGGAGAGAAAACAGATTGTTTACCTGCAAACTTAAGAGACTTGAAGCCAGTTGGAATATAATTGACTAGAACATGTGGCTCTCAACCTGTGGGTCTCCAGATGTTTTGGCCTTCAACTTCCAGAAATCCCAACAGCTGGTAAACTGGCTGGGATTTCTGGGAGTTGTAGGCCAAAACACCTGGGGACCCACAGGTTGAGAACCACTGCTCTAGTGTTTATTGATCATTATAAGAATGGAACAGCTCTCAGGTATATTTTTATGTATCTTACTAGCCGTCCCCTGCCACGCGTTGCTATGGCCCACATGGGTGTTCTGTGTGGGAGGTTTGGCCCAATTCTATCGTTGGTGGGGTTTATAATGCTCTGTGATTGTAGGTGAACTATAAATCCCAGCAACTACAACTCCCAAATGTCAAGATTCTATTTTCCCCAAACTTCACCAGTGTTCACATTTGGGCATATTGAGTATTTGTGTAGAGTTTGGTCCAGATCCATCATTGTTTGAGTCCACAATGCTCTCTGGATGTAGGTGAACTACAACTCCAAAACCAAAGGACACTGCTCACCAAACCCTTCCAGTATTTTCTGTTGGTCATGGGAGAACTGTGTGCCAAGTTTGGTTCAATTCAATTGTTGGTGGGGTTCAGAATGCTCTTTGATTGTAGGTGAATTATAAATCCCAGCAACTACAACTCACAAATGATGAAATCAATTTTTTTGGGTGAAGGACATACATTGGGTTGTTAGGTGTCTTGTGTCCAAATTTGGGGTCAATTTTCCCAGCGGTTTTCGAGTTCTGTTAATTCCACAAACGAACATTACATTTTTATTTATATAGATTTCTATGTCTCTTCAGCACAGCAAAACAGAGTAGCTATTAACACTCATAAAACACAACCTTTGAAATAATAAATCATGTACAGGCAGCAGAACAACAACTATTATTATTATTATTATTATTATTATTATTATTATGTATTTCTATACCGCCTTTCTCCCATGGGTGAAATGTTTGCTTACACTCTGAAGAAGAGCTAATGTGAGTCATTTTGATGGTGTGCTTAATACCTGTTTGGGTCTATGTACAAGTTGGTTTAAAAAAATCTAGACTTACGAACAGTCAGGTAGTTCAAATTTCTGTAGCTCTTGTATATCAAAGTCCTTGCCCCATTTTATCAGCTGCCAAGTTAAAGAGTAATCATTCTTAGATGGAGAGGGACCAGGTACAAGTTACCCTTGAGAGTGTTTGCATAATTTCTCTTTCACTCAAAGGAGTTTCATTATGCAAGTGTTTTACCCAATTCACAAGTTTCGTGATGTCAACAAATTCTTCCTCTAAGGACATGCTTGGCCTGTTATGGGCCTGCAGTATGAGGAGACAGTTCCACATAAAGGGCATATGGAGAAAATAGAGAATATGTAGAAACCATGGGTCAACGAGAGGGACTGGTGTCGCAAAACCTTCTTATAGTACAGAGGCAACAGGGATGTTGGGAGGGAAAAGGCTTACTACCAACAAATAATTACTACTACCACATCAACTCTAGGTTATTAAATATGGTTTTCTGTTGGTGAGCAGATGGCGACTACTGGATAGCATATGTTCTGTATCAGAAACCAGACCTGGTGTGGTCTTTCCAGTACAATTTTCTGAATCAATATCCCAAATAACCAAACCAAAAACTGTTGACCAAAAACTGATTTGTAACTCTTTTGTTTCTAATGTTGGAGAATGGCCCTTGGCAAAAAAAAAGTTGGGATCCACTTTCTTAGATGCTGAAAGTCATGGGGAAAGAATAAAATCTACTACAGCACTTGTGATTCAATAATTGTTGGCCGGGTTTTTTCTTTTAGCCAGCAGATGGTGCTTTAGTTATTATATAAGAGATCTCAACTTGGAAAGTTGCACCAGTACATGGAGGGCCAAATCTCCTTGTGGTGAGAAAAGCTGGATATAAATAATAATAATAATAATAATAATAATAATAATAATAATAATAATATTTTAACCCTTTTTGTATGGCATTGTATGCCTATTTGCGAAAGAATCACTTTCTCTGTGAATTTGGAGCAAAAGCAGAAGGCATATGTACTGCTTGTAGTTCCTTATTATTTTAGATTTTACGTTTCTGCCCCACATAACTTGCACAAAAAAGCCAGAAGATTATGTAACAGCTTTAAGCTGATATCCTTATTTAGTAGAGCCGTGGTAGTGTGGCGGATTAAATTGCTAAGCTGCAGAACTGCTAATTGGAAGGTTGGCAGTTCGAAACCACAGAAGTGGTGAGCTCCCATTGTTAGTCTCAGCTTCTGTCAACCTAGGAGTTTGAAAACATGCAAATGTGAGTAGATCAATAAGTACTGCTTCGTTGGGAAGGCAACGGTGCTCCAAGCAGTCATGTTGGCCACATGACGTAGGAGGCTTCTCTGGACAATGCCGGTTCTTTGGCTTAGAAATTGAGATGAGTACCACCCCCCAGAGCCAGACTAGACTTTATGTCAAGGGGAAACCTTTACCTTATTTAGTATTATAATTTTTCAAACTAAAATTTTATGGTAACGGTCCTCATCATTAAAACATCTTGTTGTATGTTGGCATCCCAAAAGGAAGTGCAAAATATCCAGGAACTGTGAGTTTCCTAGCTAGTCTCAAAGAGCAAAACATTGCAGAAAGACAGTAAAGAGACAGTATGAGACAGTATGAGACGGCGCGGATGATTTAGTGTAATTATATTATTGTTGTATTATTGATAGTTATGTGGATATTTCGTTGTGCTATTGCTTGATTGTAAACTGTGTTTTTATATGTTGTACATCGCCGTGAGTCGCCCTAGGGCTGAGAACGGCGGTCAACAAATGAAGTAAATAAATAAATAAATAAATAAAAATAAAGACATTGCCTCTTGCTTTTTTATTGGCACAACAGCAATTTGAATTGGAGAAGGAAAATTACATTGGAGGCATTTCATAGAAAGAAGAAGAGGACTCCTACCATATTGCTGCTTGATTTACCAATGAGGAGTTAGACTTTGCCTTATTTTGTTTGCTTTCATGTCCCATTAGGCGCACCTTGGCAGACATTATAATGGAGAAGATTACAGAGAAACAGACAGAAGTGGAGACTGTGATGTCAGAAGTATCTGGCCACCCCATGCCACAGCTCAACCCTCGGGTCCTAGAGGTCTACAAGGGTGTCAGAGAAGTAAGAATAGCACTTTCATTTGTGCAAATTAGGATAAACATGCATGTATCATATAGGTACATACACTTATGCATTAGAATCACTCTAAAGCCATCTATCATAGAACCAATTACTCATAATGCTTATATGGAGGTCTGGTAATTGGGGGAAGGGTAGCTATTGCTTTGTATCTTCCTAACACTGCATTTTAAGATGATTTGTCATAAATACTTGAATGTCATGCCTGTTTATTTTTCTTACATAATTTAAAAAAATTCTTCCAAAGGTGTTGTCTAAATACAGGAGTGGAAAACTTCCCAAAGCCTTCAAAGTTATTCCAGCACTATCCAACTGGGAGCAGATCCTCTACATCACAGAGCCAGAAACGTGGACAGCGGCTGCCATGTACGAGGCAACAAGGTGGGAACTGTCACATTACTTGTAGCAGAGGCAGACAGAGTCTGGGTTGCTGTGAGTTTTCCAGGCTTTATGGCCATGTTTCAGAGGCATTCTCTCCTGGAAACAGACCTCTCAGCCTCTGAGCATGCCTGCCATAGATGTGGGCATAATGTCAGGAGAGAATACTTCTGGAGCATGGCCATACAGCCCGGAAAACTCATAGCAACCCAGTGATTCTGGCCCTGAAAGCCTTCCACAGCACACCAGACAGAGTCTGTTTCTGCAGCCCATAAAATTGGTCCCCAGACCCTCCTGAGTTACTCATCCCAGCAGTGTCTTGAGCCTTAGTGTAATAAGTCAATAACAGGAAACCCACTCCTCTGACCGGAGCCAGCACGGTGTTTTGAGATGGTTTTAGACAACTGATTTTAAAGTAGATAGAACTGATTTTACTGTTTGTGTATATTTATAGTTGTTTTATGTCCCGACATGGAATGCTTTCCGTATATATGTTGTGCTCCACCCTAGTGATTCCGGCTATGAATCATAGAATCATAGAGTTGGAAGCGATCTCATGGGCCATCCAGTCCAACCCCCTGCCAAGAAGCAGGAAAATTGCATTCAAAGCACCCCAGACAGATGGCCATCCAACCTCTGTTTAAAACCATCCAAAGAGCCTCCCTCACAGTCTGGGGCAGAGAGTTCCATGCTGAACAGCTCTCACAGGAAGTTCTTCCTCATGTTCAGGTGAACACTCCTTTCCTGTAGTTTGAAGCCACTGTTCTGTGTCCTAGTCTCCAGAGTAGCAGAAAGCATGCTTGCTTCCTCCCGGTGACTACCCTCACATATTTATATATGGCCATCATGCCTCCTCTCAGCTTTCTCTTCTTCAGGCTAAACATGCCCAGCTCTTTAAGCTGTTCCTCATCGGGCTTGTTCTCCAGACCCTTGATCATTTTAGTCGCCCTCTTCTGGACACTTGCAGGCTTAGAGTAAACATCTCCCTTCAATCGCAGTGCCCAGAATTGGACACTGTGTGATTTCAGGTGACATGTAAATAATTAAATGTAATGAATGAATTTTTGCTAAGAATTCCGCAATATCCAAAGATGTTTAGGATCTGGCTTTTAATTTGTTTTCTCCTTGTTATTATTATTCATCTCAGAATCTTTGCTTCAAATCTCAAAGAGCGGATGGCCCAGCGGTTCTACAATCTGGTCCTCCTCCCAAGAATCAGGGACGACATTGCTGAATATAAACGGCTCAATTTCCATCTCTATATGGCATTGAAGAAGGCGCTGTTCAAACCTGGAGCCTGGTTCAAAGGTACAGAGACACTCACCCCAAGGACAGCAGCTCAGAATGTTAAATTATCTGGGGTTTATTTAATAGTGTCATCACTACATGGTAGGTAGATATGGAGAACTTTCATTTGGCTCAATCCTTACCTTAAGTTTTTCCTCTGAAAATCCTGTTATAAGAGGACAGCACTGTAGTATGCACAAATAAGACTTATATTGTCACTTTCATCTGAAATATGAAGCATTTGCCTCTGTAGTAACTACTTTCTAATGACTTGTGAAAGACACATTACAGTGTGCCACAGGATACAGGATAGATAGCTTGGTATGAGAAAACCAGTTAGTCTTTTATCTTTAGAGCATTTTTTATGCCACTCTATTAGACAGAAGGTTCCAAGAGCAGCACATAGAGTCCAAGATGAGAAAGCGCCTGTCTGCCGGCTTGCAGTCTAAAAGGTATATTTCCAAAAACAAAACAAAAAAAGAGGGAAGAGCGGAAAAGCAAACCCAGGCACTTGTTTTTAAGATTCAGATTTTTAGAATGGAATAGAAAGAGGCAAAGAAGAGGAGGAACTTGCTCCTGATGGCTCTATAGAGCAGATAATGTGGCCCTATCTTTCTCAGTATGATGACTCTGCTCCAGTGTCTGAATTCAACTCCCTTAGATATGTTTGAGGAATATGGGCCAACAGGATCTCACCTCCTTTCATTCAAAGCATTGAGGGAGGACATTTTCAGTGGCATTTACCCAACCCTGTGGAACACCCTCCCAAAATAAATTAAATCAGCTTCCTCCCTTTCTTCTTTCAAGAACCAATTAAAAACTTTCCTGTTTAGACAGGCCTTTAGTGAAGAAAACGAAGCTGGAGTGATAAGAAATACTATAATGTTATGAACTGGAACAAAGTGCAATGTGATCTGACAAGGTGCCACAAGAATGTGAATGTATATTATTGTTTTAAACTGCTTATTTTGATGTTTTATACTTATTATCGATTTATATGGATTGTTTACATGATTTAATATATATAAGCCACTTTGGGTCCTGTGAGGGAGAAAAGCAGGATATAAATAATAATAATAATAATAATAATTATTATTATTATTATTATTATTGCACTCCTTTCAGAGTACTGTATGGAACTGGAAGATTCTGGAATTGTAACCCCAAAACAAGCCTTTTTCAATAATAATAATTAATTAATAATAAACTTTATTTATACCCCACCACCATCTCACCGGAGGGATTCAGGGCGGTTCACAGAAGCACTACAAGTACTGAACATAAAATAAACAATACATAAACATGACTATAACAGCATAAATTTACAACAGCAAACATGCATAAAATGACACATAATATATTTTTTTAAATTCATAAAACGCAGTGATGCTGATAAAACTGACAGTCTTAAAATGTATATTCAAGCTATCTCCACTAGTGTTTGCATTTCTCCAAATGTTGCAATAGAAATCAATTTGGCAAAATACGTCTTTAAATCTATCATATTTTGAGAGGATTGGTTTTAAATTGTAAAGTACGGTGGAATTGAATTTTAAGTAAACAATAACAAAAACCAAGAAGAAGTTATATGAGCTGGAAACAGGTGGATTCACTCATCTCTAGGTACTTTCCTGTGCTGGTGTTTACTTCATCCGATGAGTGTTCTGTCAGCAAGAGTCTCATACTGGAGATGATAGTGGTTGGAAAGGAAACACCCGGGAGAGACAAGTAGATGCAGGATGAACTCAGTGTTCATCAACCCATGTCACTTTTTATTTTTAAGCACAAACACACTGCCTCCAGACACACACACCTTGCTTCAGACATTCTAAGAGGTAGATTTGCACTTAAAGTAGTTTGATCTTGCATGTAGGCAAGTCTACAGCAGGACTCTTAATGATAAAGTGTCTATTATGTGTTGTCAAGTCAGCTTCAATGCATATGATCTTATGAATAAGAAATCCCCAAGAAACTTTACCAAACTATTGTTAAGATCTTGTACATTTAGGAGAATGGCTTTTTTACTGCGGAATTATAACCACACTGTGGTGCTGTGGTACTGTATAGGCTGCAGCATTGCATTGCATGACGCTTAAGCTCACGGGTTGGTCATTCAATGCAATGCTGAAGGTGGAATTATTTTACAGGCCTGGTTTTTTTTAAAAAAGAAACAACCTCTTGTACTTTTGAGCTTATGTTTTGATGTATAGTGTTAGAGAAATGTATATAGCTTTTTCTCCTTCCTCCAAGGTATCCTTCTCCCCTTGTGTGAGTCGGGAACATGCACACTGCGGGAAGCCATCATAGTGGGCAGCATTCTTGCCAAGTGCTCTATCCCTGTCCTTCATTCTGGGTAAGGAGAACTAGATTAATCTGTTAATCGAAGGCTAATAATTTTAAAATAAGAGTGGGTGTGTGTTCATGCCATTCTTTCTTGCATTCTTATCCCATTGAAGATCAGATAGTAACCTTGCTTAAAATTTTTCTTCGATGCCTTGTGGAAAGAGTTCCCATTTGTGTATCTGACAGAGTGTTCTTTAGTACGTGACCCCCACCCCCCGGTGGTGCAGCAGGTTAAACCACTGAGCTGCTAAACTTGCTGACTGAAAGGTCAGCGTTTTGAATCCAGGGAGTGGGGTGAGCTCCTGCTGTTCACCCCAACTTCTGCCAACCTAGCAGTTCGAAAACATGCAAATATGAGATCAATAGTTACCGCTTCTATGAGAAGGTAATGACGCTCCATGCAGTCATGCGGGCCACATGACCATGGACGCCTCTGCGGACAACGCTGGCTCTTCAGCTTAGAAATGGAGATGAGCACTGCCTCCTAGAGCCAGACACGACTAGACTTAATGTCAAGGGAAACTTTTACTTTTAGTAGGTGGGCTGAGATCGAAGTGTGAATACAAAAAATGGCCCTCTCAGGAGTACTGGCTACCTTTTCTTAAGTAGTCTTTGCCAAGCCCTTTGATTATGCTTTTCCTACACGGCAGGGGGTTGGACTAGATGGTCTGTGTGGTCTCTTCCAACACTATTATTCTATGATCAATGCCGGGAATGCCAATCCAGCCCAAGATCCATCTCCTGATGAAAGAGATGAGACACTATTGTGTTGGCAGGTGGGAGTTGAACTTGTTCCTGCTTATCTTCCCTGTGCTGGAAATACAAGTGGGAAGCTAAGGGCATTTTCCCAACACTTTAATGTATTCATGTTTGCACTTGTGGTGAGGCATGGAATGTTTGCCTCTATATTTTTTATTTGTTGGAATCCGCCCTGACTCTGCTTTGGGAGATAGTGCAGAATACAAATTATTTATTATTATTATTAATTATTATTATTAACTGCCTGAATAGCTCCCTATTTCATTCTTCTGTCTCGTTCTTCATAAGGAGGGGCATTGCATGATACAGACTCATAGGAGAACCTAATTTGCATTCTCCCACTCCTACAGGGCCGCAATGCTAAAGATTGCTGAGATGGAGTACAGCGGCGCCAACAGCATCTTCCTCCGCTTGCTCATTGACAAGAAGTATGCCTTGCCTTTCCGAGTGGTGGATGCCCTGGTCTTTCACTTCTTAGCCTTCCGGACAGACAAGCGTAACTTGCCTGTCCTGTGGCATCAGTGTCTCCTGACCTTTGCTCAGCGGTACAAAGAGGATCTTTCTTCAGAGCAGAAGGAAGCCCTTTTGGAGTTGCTCAAGTCTCACAGCCACCCCCAGATCTCTGCAGAGATCCGCAGAGAACTTGTGAATTCCAAGTGTCGGGACACGGAGGGAATGCAGCCCATGGCAGTGGAGTGAATCAAGGATGGGAACACAGACTCTGTGTATTGGACACTGCAGATGCTGCGGTTTTGTTTGGGCTGGAACTTGTTAAGTCAAAGGCATCCACTGGAGAATGCATATTGTTAATAAACAGCAGTGGAATAAACTAGGATGGAGAGAGTGAATAAATATGAGGCAGTCTGGAAAATATATGGAAGATTCACTTTGTAGAATCTTGGTATTTTTACTCAGGATCTTGGAAGTAATACATTAAAAATGAACACCGTTACTTACAATCCATTATTCGGAAGGGTAATGATGATACAACCTTGTTGTTTTTAAATAATAAGTAAAATAACGGTAGAATTTTGCTTGCTTGTCTTGTAACCTTTCTGGAGGTTTTATTTGGTGATTTTTGAGACAATTTTGGGGGATTGGTAAAGTGCATTTAAAAATGAATGAACAAATGTTAAAATAACACACTGATTAGTGTGTTAACCTTTAGAAAGTAATGCATTATCCTGGGTACTTCAAGAAATCTTTTCATAAAAGAGATATACACAAGATATGTATATTTTAGGATGAGATTCTACTTTCTAACTTAGGGGCCGAAGCAGGGCGGGCTGGGAGGGAGGGGGTTCTGCCCAAGTCTCCTCCCTGTCTTTTCCTCCCCTTCCTGTTCTCTTTCAGAGACGGAAAGTGAAGGAAAGATGGGAAACTTTTAGATAGTGAGAGAGGAGGGTCTGAGAAAAGAGCCCAAGGGGCCGTATCTGGCCCCCGGACCTGGGTTTGCCCATACCTGTTCTAAAGGATTATTCCCCATGTCTAAAAGCATTTGCTGTGAGAGCGTTCCTATCCACTGAGGAGGTCTTATGAATTGGTTTTGCCCATCCTGCATATTCTCCCAATGGAGAAAATTGGAAATTGGTAAAATTGCCCTGTCTGCAGAAGGCCTCCTGCAGCCTCCACAGTAAGGACCTTGATCACAGCTCTGTTGCCCCATGTCATTCAATTTTGATCCAGTTCCTTACCATTCCTTTGAGTGTCCTGTGCTTCATTCTTTTGATTAAAATGGGTTCTCAATTGTGGCTCTTCTTCTGCATTTCCCAAATGAAGAAAAAAATCTGTTATTTTTGCCTGTGAAATGCAAAGTATCTTGGCTGCAGGTCTCTTGTCATCATTCCCCCCCCCCCCCATTTTTTTCATGTGTTTCAATTACTCTTCTTTAGTCTGAGAAATTTTAAAAACAAATAATTACTTGGCCTATCATCAGATTAAACTAAGATTTCTTTCATCTAAGATGCTTACACATATTGGCGTATGAATCCAAACAGTGTATTGTCGAAGGCTCACAACCTCTGAGGATGTTTGCCATAGATGCAGGCGCAACGTCAGGAGAGAATGCCTCTAGAACATGGCCAAATAGCCCAAAAAAACCTACAACAACCCAATCCAAACAGTCTTTTTAAGGGGAGAGGAACTGCAGGCAACATCTTAGAAAATAGATTCCACGAAGCTTGCTTGGTATGCAATGAAAATAATAGCTAATCAAGATTGTGAAGAATAGTTTTTAACTTATGAAATAGCAAAAATGGCTGCAATCTTAAAAGTCTCTTGGACAGCTGCCTGAGGCTTGTAGGATGTTGCAAGCTTCCACTTGAAACTAAAGCAAGAGATCTCCCCCCCCCCCCCCTTATCTCTGATACCAAAACTTCAATTAGATTGCTATATTCATGCTTGTCCACTGGTGGGAGCAATGGAGAAAAATAGTAACTTACATGGACCAGAACTTTGGATCTACTAGATGAAAAACTGTCAGTAATACTAAAAACTAGGTATTTTTGGTAACAGAAATATGAGTCAAGTACTGAAAGGGATGCAGTGACTCAGGGCCCTTCCACACAGCCCTATATCACAGAATATCACAGCCGAAAAACCCACATTTATCTGCTTTGAACTGGAATATATGGCAGTGTGGACTCAGATAACCCAATTCAAAGCAGATATTGTGGGATTTTCTGCCTTGATATACTGGGATATAGGGCTGTGTGGAAAGGCCCTCTGAGAAGCTGCTATCCAATATAAGCAGGCATGCCTGTTGCTTAGTAATGCCTCAGTGTGAGAAGTCTACCACAAGAGGCTTTTCTTTGTAGTAAACTAATATGGTTACGCTATTTACAAGAAGGTTTCCATAACACAAAGTTCAGCCTTCACACTGGAGCTTCACACACAAGGCCTTCTCATACCGAGGCCTACCTCACACTCGGGCCTACTGACAATGAGGCTTATTTTCTCACTGAGGCGATCTCTCTCACAGGCCCTTTCCACACAGCTGAATAAAACCCGACATTATCTGCTTTAAACTGGAACATATGGCAGTGTGGACATAGGGCCCTTCCACACAGTCGTATAACCCAGAATATCTGCTTTGAACTGGGTTAGCCGAAGCCCTTCCACACAACCCTATATCCCAGAATATCATGGCAGAAAATCCCACATTATCTGAGTGTGGACTAAAATAACCCAGTTCAAAGCAGATGTGGGATTTTCTGCCTTGATATTCTGGGATATAGGGCTGTGTGGAAGGGCCCTATGTCCACACTGCCATATGTTCCAGTTTAAAGCAGATAATGTAGGGTTTATTCAGCTATGTGGAAAGGGCCTGTGAGAGAGATCGCCTCAGTGAGAGAATAGGCCTCATTTTTAGTAGGCCCGAGTGTGAGGTAGGCCTCGGTATGAGAAGGCCTTGTGTGTGAAGCTCCAGTGCGAAGGCTGAACTTTATTTATGTTATGGAAACCTTCGAGTAAATAGCGCAACCATATTAGTTTACTACAAAGAAAAGTCTCTTGTGGAAGAGATAACATTGGTCTGTGTGTTTTTGTCCTTTTTATCATTTTGGGCTACTGGTGCTGGGTCATGCTGCTACTAATAAGTTACTCTGCTGTACATTTATGAGGAGGGTCTTTTGTTATTAAGCCCACTCACCCAACAAAAGCTTTGTCTTCCAAATTGTGGCTTAAGAATAAGAGGAACTAGGCCAGCTAGGCGTCACTCGGACCTAGCATATTTTGATGTTGGCGTGATCTGGCCCTTCCCCCAACCCTCAAGCAATGCCCAGTTTATATAGCCACCATTAAGAAAGCAAACTATTTTTCTCTCTGCTTTTCCCTCTCCTTTCTTTTTGCTACAGTGCGTTATAAATCAAGCTACAATTTAAGCCACAAGAATGTTGAGTTTGCATTACATAATGTTAAAGCTTCCAACATTTTGCTTTCTAGAAACAGCTGGCAATGGCAGCCTGTGCTGTTTCTAGAAATTGCTTCTTCCCATGGCGTACTTTCCTCCTCCTGGAAGCCTTCAGTCTGTTAACCTTGATCATCAAGAATGTGAGGCCGCCAAAGGGGAATCCTTGATCATTGGCTCGGAGTCAACAAGTCAGTGCTTCCTCTGTGCTGTTGAAGCCCTAGAGAAGCATTAACACATTTTGTACTTGGGGATCCTCCTGGTCTCCTTATTCACCACCCAGAACCCGTCGTTCTCATGTGAATGACAGGCCCCCTTTAGTGATGTGCCTACAGCAGCTGGGAGAGGAAGAGTAATGTGTCTGAGCAGGCTGTAGCTCCTGGGAAGATTTGGTTGAGTGGCTCCTCAAGAGTGCCATGTTTGTTCACGCTGGGAGATGTCCCCGAAGACACACACTTGCTAGAGCACAGATTATTAACAATTTGCACATCTCCCATCTTTCTAACTAACTTGGCAGAAATTAGTCGATCCCGTCACAGGCAAAAGCTGTTAGCTCCATGCTGAGTGGTAAATTAGCCTGCTGAAACAGCCTGGAGCACTAAAGTGGATGGAGATCTCGCTTGCTGGTGCTGCCTAATAGCAAGCTGCTAAAACCGAGGTTCAAAGCAGAGAGGAGTAAAATCAAGCCAACAGTAGGCCAGTATATGTGAAGGATTGGCTTTGAACAGACTGATTCAACATGTTGGGTCAGTGTCTGTGTCTCTTGTAATCCTGGCCTCCCATCTGTACTGTGTCCATCATAATCCTATTAGAAAGAAGCAGTCGTGTGGTTCAACCATTCTAGCAGACATAACAAGGACCATGCTAAATCAGGCAGAAAGCTTGTCTGGTCCAGCACTCTATTCACACAATTGCCAACCAAGTCGCCCATGGAAAGCTCACCAGTGGGACATGATGGCAAGTGCACCTTTCGTCTTATAATCTTAAGTAATTGATATTACCATATAAGATACACTTCTGGTAAGACTAGTAAGTCTACAGTCATATTATTAGGTGCCTTCAAGTCATTTCCAATTTATGGTGACTCTAAGGTAAACGATTCCTTGGCCAGATTTGTTCAAAGGGGTTTACCATTCATTGCCTTCCTCTGAGGCTTCAGGAGTGCGACTTGCAAAGGTAGGTTTCAATTTTTGTGTGTATCAGGAGCTACTTGAGAGACAGCAAGTCACTTTTAGTGTGAGAGAATTGGCCATTTGCAAGGACGTTGCCCAGGGGATGCCAAGATGTTTTACCATCCTGTGGGAGGCTTCTCTCATGACCCTGCCTGGGAAGCTTCAGCTGATATATGGGAGCTCACCTCACTCCCCAGATTCGAACCACCAACCTTTTGGTCAGCAGTCTTGCCAGCACAAGGGTTTAATCCAGTAGGTTTCCCTGGTCTCCCAGAAGCCAATGCTCACCACTATATGAAAGTGCTATAAGTGAATTTATATAAACCTTCTGAAAGCAGGGACCAGGAAAAAGCTATATTCTATTCTGAAATAAATAGTAGAATTTCATTACAGCAGCCTTTCTCAACCTTTTTACCTTGGAGGGATGCTTGGATAAAAATTATTTTTATCTATAGCCATCTCTCGTGGAACTCCTAGCAACTTCTTATGGATTCCAGGGAATCCTGGTTGAAAAACCCTGCATTAGAGTCTAGGTCCATTTGATCCTTTTATACCACATTTCCACTTCCAATGAAAGAAGGAAAGAATCTGCTAGGTTTTTTTTTTTACAATCCTTTATTGCAATATTACAAAAGGGTTTTCAGAACAATCAGATTTCAAGTGATGATGAATAATATGGACAAACTTTCTTTAAAGCTGTAAAATATAGATACAGATATAAGTGGATCTATAAAAATAATTTCCCCTCAATTCCAAACTTCTATGAAGTTTTTAGGATACTGACTTCCCATTTACCAGATCTGCCAGTAGCACTTCTGTTATGACTGAACAGCTTAAGCACAATGAGGAGAAAGAGAAATAGCAAAGAAGCACCTTTTTCTCGTTGGCAAACGTGGTCTCCAGTGGTGTTCTAGGTAGCATCAGTCCATATTGTTTTCCAACTGGAGCATTTCCAAATGGACAGTTATACCCATCATGACTGTTTATTCATACCTGATAATTCTCAAAAGTGATTTCTTATAAAAAGCAGCATTTAGAAACAAACAAACCCTTTTTTTCCTGAACAAGAATACAACTATCGACTCCAGTGCAGTCTGCCGCTCATCATATTGTAAACTCTTTCGGGGAAAGAGGTTAATCTTTGACCCCCGTTATAAAAGCAGGCAATCCAATAGCTTTGATTTCCTATTACTTCTCCACCCATCCTTTGCATGTAGCTCTCCTGCCTCTTTTCTTTCTTTCTTTCTTTCTTTCTGTCTTTCTTTCTCTCTTTTTGGCAATGAAGACAAAGGGGGGATTTCTACATACAAGTTATAGCAGCACTTTTTGGGTGTACTCTGAATGTGGATTGACTTCAACACTGACTAATCTCTCAAACTAAGCAACCCAGAGGTATGAAGGAGAATAAGGGAGAACATTAAGGCACTAGTTTTGGACGTCAAGAAGAGATAAACAAACACTATCAAGCCCCTTCCCCCACTCTGCAGTTTTATAATACTTAGTCCACAAAATAAATAAAGTTGCTCAGGGGTTCTGGGGAGTAAGAAAAGGCAATTGGGTGCAAGGACAATTTATTGCTTCAGCCTACTGTGATGAGAGGATTTCTCCCCCTGTCCCCAAGTTTTCACTATGGCAAGCAGCACTTTACAAGCACCTATACAAAGCTGGCCAAAACCCACTCATTTCCACTGAAAGACTAAAGGACCTGTGCTACTATTAACCTTCAAGCCTACTACTACTAACCTTTAAAGGATAACTAAGACTATTTTTTTAGTATTGAGCAAAACTGGAAAAGGAAGCCACTAAGCTAGTGCTTCACTTGGTCTCTCACCAGTTGCCCATACATGGCAGCAAGAGAAAAGCAGTTTCAGCCAAGGAGGTCTCAGGCGAATACTTAAAATGTCTTCACTGAAGGTGAAGGCGAGTCGTTTAGGTAACAAAAGTGTGTTACATCTCCTGACATGCATGCAGCAGGCACACAGAAACAGTTAAGACAACATAGTTAAGATAACAGCAACGAAGCAAACCCAAACTGAAGAATGTTTGGAACGAAGACCCAGAACTTGCCTTTCCAAGCTGAACCATGTTCCAATCATTCCAAAAAAAATCAGGTTTGCAAGACAGAAACTGCCCTACTGCAAAATGCCTTTTCCTGTCTGAGCCCCACCCTGTTCCTCTAAGACCCAATTTCACCACGGCCTTATTACAATGTCGATGTTCACTGGGGAAATCTTCTTGAACTTCCTTCGGTCTTTGGTGATGAATGCAGGCAAGCAAAATGTCCTCTCCTCTCCACAACCTACAAACCATCTACAAACCCAATAAGGAAATCCAACAAATGGTATGCTCATCAAGGACAAGAGGGATCCTCTCATTTTTGCAGGTGTCTACTATATACCATGCAGCTGTGGACAAGTCTACATAGGGACCACCAAATGCAGCATTGCCCAAACACAAATCAAGGAACATGAAAGGCACTGCAGACTAATTCAACCAGAGAAGTCAGCCATAGCAGAGCACCTGATGAACCAACCTGGACACAACATATTATTCGAAAACACAGAAATGCTAGACCACTCTAAAAACTACCATGTCAGACTACACAGAGAAGCCATTGAAATCCACAAGCATATGGACAATTTCAACAGAAAAGACTAACATGAAAACGAACAAAATGTGGCTGTTGTTTATTCGTTCAGTTGCTTCCAACTCTTTGTGACCTCATGGACCAGTCCATGCCAGAGCTCCCTGCCAGCTGTCACCACACCCAGCTCCTTCAGAGCTCCACCCCCAGCTCCTTCAAGCCAGTCACTTCAAGGATACCATCCAACCATCTTGCCCTTGATCAGCCCCTCTTCCTTTTTCCTTCCATTTTCCCCAGCATAATTGTCTTCTCTAAGCTATCCTGTCTTCTCATGATGTGGCCAAAGTACTTCATCTTTGCCTCTAATATCCTTCCCTCCAGTGAGCAGTTGGGCTTTATTTCCTGAAGTATGGACTGGTTCGATGTGTGTTGCCCCTGATCTCTTTAGTCTAATTCTAAATTGTGCAATAAGAAGTTCATGATCTGAACTACAGTCAGCCCCAGGTCTTGTTTTCACCAAGTGGATGGATGTCCGCCACCTTTGGCTGCAAAGGATGTAGTCAATCTGATTCGTGGCTGATGTGGCTACCAGTATTTTTTTTAAAAAAACTCTAAAATCAGGACAGTAAATAAAGAACAGCACTCAGAAAACAGGGAATTCCAGACAAGAAATCTGGGCCAGCTAATCATCTCCCAACAAAGCATTCCTCCAGGCAGGAAGCAGCCGGGCTGTGAAGCTGCAAGTCCATTCAATGCTAATCAAACTCGCCAATTGCAACATTCACACTTGCTTCAAATAGACAAAGAGTTATTTCTCCCACCTTGGACATTCCACAGATATATAAACCCCACTTGCTTAGTTTCCAACAGACTTCACAACTTCTGAGGATGCCTGCCATAGATGTGGGTGAAACGTCAGGAGAGAACGCTTCTGGAACATGGCCATACAGCTCGGAAAACTCACAGCAACCCAGTCCTCTCCTTCCTTTTCTGTGCCAGGTTCTACTTGCTGGGATCTGGGTGGTCACAGGGAAGGCTTGGTCACAGGTTGATGTCGGTGACATCCGTAGGAGTGCCGGTGGGGGTGACCTCCTGGCTGTCGGAGTAAGCGGCATTCTTGGAGGAGCTGTATTCCTGCCGTGGCTGGGAGGTCTGCTTCAGGTTCTCGGCCAAGGCAGCTTCAATCTGCTCCTGACAAGCTTTCAGACAGTCCTGGGAAAGGGATGAGAGCATCAAAGGAATGGTTAATTTCCACTTCTTATTTTTCATCTGAGGCATAAGACTATTTTCAACACAACATTAACTGAGCAAACCTTCAACTGAAGTTGGAAAAATGACTATGCAGATTGACACTACTTTAACTGCCATAACTCAATGCTCTGTAATCATGGGAGTTGTAGTTTTACAAGGTCTTGGGCCTTCTCTGCCACAGTACTGGGTTCTCACCAAACTGCAAATCCCAGGACCCCATAGCATTGAGTCTTGCCAGTTAAAGTAATGTCAAACTGCATTAATTCTGTATAGTGTAGATGCACCTTATGTTGGCTTACAGCTCCAAGAACCTTCAACCAAATGCTTCTTCTAGCTGGAAAATTCTGGGAGCAACATAGTCCAGAAAAGTAATATTTTCAAGCTTAGAAAATTGTAATGTTTGTGCTGCTACAGAAATGGAAGCAGAGTAGCCTCAATAAGCAAGGTAAAGTCTGCTCTTCATTTAAGGTGTAATAATGCTTCAAAAACCTGGCTAAAGGGATCTCCTTTCTGCCAACACTTCTCAAACCTCACCTGTCTCCATTTGCTCTGTGATATTTGGCACTATTCTGAGCACATCTGATATTTGCACATGCTCTGCATCCTCGCTGGCAATGTTACTGGCAAAGCTCCCTCCATAGTGGTTTGGAGCATGTGCAAGGAACCGGCATGTGGATTACATCACCAAGCCTGAACACGGCTGAAAAGAGGCTCCAGACAGGGTAAACTCTCTACACAGTCACTTCCATATAAAGTAGGTTTTAACCCCCTCTGCATCCAAAGAATAATAATAAAAAAAAATCAAAACAGGGCAGGAGAATTATTTCATAAATGCCTCTAAACCCAATTGGGGGAAAAAAACAATTTAGCAACTTGTGCTCAGTAACAATACATGTCTAGCAACAAAGAGAGGTACTTTGTTTTCTATTTTGATTTTGAAGGGCGAGACAGAAAAACTGGGGGAGAGAAGAGAGTGGAAGCAACATGGTAAAAATAAATTACATTGTGGCAATTACTGGGGGAGGGTGCTTTTTGCATTCGCTTATATTGTTTGAAGCTGTTTACAGGTCCCATCCCTCCCAAAATAGGAAGGATATGGAAGTGCTGTGTTTTTTAAATGTATAATAATAATAATAATAATAATAATAATAATAATATTTTTTCATGTCAGGAGTGACTTGAAAATGCAACTTGCTTCTGGTGTAAGAGAACTGGCTGTCTGCAACGACGTTGCCCAGGGGACGCGCAGATGTTTCACCATCCTTGTGGGAGGCTTCTCTCATGTCCCTGCATGAGAAGTTGGAGCTGACAGATGGGAGCTCACTCCTGGATTCAAACCGCCCATTGTTTAACCCATTGCTCTACCGGAGTCTCCAATAATGATGATGATGATGATAACGTGGCGTTAGAAAATTGAGTAGTATGCTTTTACTATCTGAAATCTCATACATTTTATGCTTCTAAAGTAAAAATGTGGCTTCAGCCAAATAAGGCATTTTCAAATTTTCTGAAATAAGTCATTTTTTTCCCCTCTGGGGAAATTTTTGGGACAGTCACATCCCTACCTCTAACATGTTGGAGGGGTTAGTTGCAACTGAGACAGTTCTGCAACTGACATTAGAGCTCTAAAGCTTAATACACACCAACTAAGGATGCTTCACCATTAATCTTGAAACCTCTGCAATTGGAAGCCTCAATACTAGGTTGATAGCTACCTATATAAACTTAACTATAGAGCTAGCTTATTTATAGACTGGTTGGTGTTCTGTCTCTAGAATCTGATACAAGGTTCCAACACTGCATCAGCTTGCACTTCACTGTACCCTGATATAGGTATAGTTCAAATACTGTCTGAATACAATTTTTAAAAAATCAAGATAGTCTGTCTGAGTAGGTACCTAATGACGAGGGTTTTAAGGTAGTGTTAATGAATTTTAATACAGCCAGCCTCTCTTGCTCTTCAGGAAAAGGGCACAGGCAGCAAACCAAACATTAAAGGAATGTTAATCCTTCCCTATGCTATCCAAAACTTTAACAATATACCCATTCCAACATACATTCAAATTCAACTTAAGAACAAACCTACAGAACGCATCTTGTATGTAAGTCTGCCTGCTTGCATATTCTAACTCGCTGGCCAAGCTGGATGGAGTTTCTGGGATTTGAATTCCAAAGCATTCAGAGGACCAAAGGCTGGGAACCCCTGATAACAGACATGACTTGTCGCAGGTTCTATTACCTTGCAATTATGTCTCTATTGTTTGGCAAAGCTCCTGGAAAGAGTGCAATGGAAGAAATGTTTTGAGAGGTCGAGAAAAAAAATGGAATTCAGCCGTTACATAAGAATTAACTACTGAACAAGTTCTTTGTTGTATTTTTAGCATTATGTTCCACTAACACAGAGGTAGGCAACTGCTGGATGGGGAGAGGGGGGAGGAACCTGGCATCACACTGAACTCTCATCTTGTTTTATCTTTGGAAATGGACTCAAAATAAGGCAGGGGAATTTGTCTATTATCTGGGCATTTTTCAGTTGTTTTTAGGACCAAAAGATTACTTTATTTAACAGAGCACCAAACCAGAACTCAAATCTCTGGTTCACTTATTAAATAAGGAGTGACTATTCCTGCCAGGATTGTTATTTGGTATATTAAGAACTCAAAAGTCTATTTTCCATGTTCTCTACACAAGACACATAACCTTCATTGCAGAGCGCATGACAACTCATCAGTCCATACAGCAGTTCATACTATAATTGCGGGGTCTGTTGGAAACTAGGCAAGTGAGGTTTATATATCTGTGGGATGTCCAGGGTGGGAAAGAACTCTTGTCTGCTTGAGGCAGGTGCGAATGTTGCAATTGGCCACCTTGATTAGCATTTAATGGCCTTGCAGCTTCAAATCCTGACTGCTTCCTGCATGGGAGAATCCTTTGTTGGGAGGTGTTAGATGGACCTGATTCTTTCTTGTCTGGAATTCCCAATTTTTAAGTGTTGCTTTTTATTGTCTGTCCCGATTTTAGAGTTTTTTAAAATACTGGTAGCCAGATTTGTACATTTTCATGGTTTCCTCCTTTCTGTTGAAATGGTCCACATGCTTATGGATTTCAATGGTTTCTTTGTGTAGTCTGACATGGTGGTTGTTAGAGTGGTTCTCAAATAATATGCTGTGTCCAGGTTGGTTCATCAGGTGCTCTGCTATAGCTGACTTCTCTGATTGACTTAGTCTGCAGTGCCTTTCCTGTTCCTTGATTTGTGTTTGGGCAATGCTGTGTTTTGTGGTCCCGATGTAGACTTGTCCACAGCTGCATGGTATATGGTATATGGCCTTGCAGGCTTTGAAGTTGCAATGCCATTAAATGCTACTTAAGTTGGCCAACTGCAGCATTCACACATGTATCAAGCAGAGAAGTTTTCTCTCCCACTCTGGACATCCCACAGATACATAAACCTCACTTGCCTTGTTTCCAACAGACTCCTCAAGCTCTGAGAATGCCTGCCATAGATGTGGGAAAAACATCGGGAGAGAATACTTCTAGAATATGGCCATACAGCCTGGAAAACTCACAGCAACCCAGTGATTCCGGTCATGAAAGCCTTGAAGAACACATTCAACAATGAAACATTCAGAAGGTGACACAGCCAGTATCCTGACATCCCCTTCTGCTTCTTATGAGGCAATATCCAATCCTGCTGTCTGTGGCAGGAAGAGGCAAGGGACTGTGGCAGTACAACAAGATAGAAGACCACATCTGGTTTGCAAGGGAGAAGCAGCTATCACAAGCTTTCCTGTGTCTTGCTCCACTTGGAGGGGAGCAAATGCCACAAGCATGTGTTCCATTTCCCACTCTTCCGATGAGACAATGTACAAAACACTGCCATAGTGCTATAAATTATTTAGTAATTAGAGTTCTCTTTCCTCCCACCTCCCGTTTTGCAAGTATTTGAATCGGGTAAATTCCTTACAGCCCGGTTCTTCATAAAACAGCACTGCCAAGGTAATGATCTTAATACAAGGGAAAATCTTGACCTTCAAGTTAGGAAGCAGTTGCATGCAGCAATGACTGGTTTCAGGAAGATGTGGAAACCCCTGAAGTTCTGCAGTGAGCCACAGCGGTGAGACCCAGCAGATGCCTTAACCCGATGCACTACCCTTTCTTTAAAGGCCAAGCATCAACTTCTTGTCCCAGCTTATCGTGAAGTGACATTTCATGTTGCAGTTTCACATGGACCCCCAACAGACTCCTCGAGGCTGGCTCTGTTCGCAGAGATCCTGTCATACGGGTGTGCACAATCTTACGAAGAATCCACACGTCGTTCTTAGAAATGACAAAGGATGTGGCAAGTAAAAATAGTAACACCCAACACCCATTCCCCAAGACGGTTCCAGTAACTGTAGCCTCTAAAGCCTCCTCTCTATAGCAAGAGGGCCCACTGAAGGCCATTCTATAATTTGGGTCCAGCTTCCAAGTATATAGGAAGGGAAGCCAAAGCTACAAAGAGAAGAGGATTTGCATCTAAGAAATTAGATGCATTGTAATTAGGGCTCTCCACAGAGAGTGAAAATGCTGTGTGTAAAGAGAGAGAGAGTAAAAAAACTGAACTTCCCAACTCCATTCTGTGCATCCCCCAAAGTGTTCAGAAAGCTAAGGAAGGACCACACCTGGATGGACAAACACATACTTTGCACACCAGATGGACCAGCAGATCCAGCATCTCCAGATGGAGGTTGAAAAGATTTTTTTTAATTGTGCCAGGAGATACTTGAGAAATTGCAAGTCACTTCTGGTATGAGAGAATTGGCCGTCTGCAAGGACGTTGCCCAGGGGATGTCTGGATGTTTTACCATCCTGTGGGATGCTTCTCTCATGTCCCCACATGGGAAGCTGGAGCTGACAGATGGGAGCTCACCCCACTCCCCAGATTCAAACCGCCAACCTTTAAGTTAGCAGTCCTGCCAGCA